ACTTGGTTCAGCAAAATGAATTCATTTGCTGAAGACTAGCCAACTACACAAAGCAGATTCTAACCCAGGTATGCCTGACAGAAACCCCATTTCCTTGCTACCACCTAGATAAAGCCCATTGCCTTGAATTTCTTTTTCCTCTGCCCTTTGTGTACACAATGAAAATAAAAGGAGGCCAAAACTATGACAGTCATGGTAGTCAAAAAAAGAGTGTGAGAATGCCACAGGCCTGTGCTCACTAAGAAAATTAAATGCCATGTGGTACCCTAGACTGGGTCCTGGATTAGAAAAAGAACTCTAACAGAGAAACCAGTCAAACTCAAAGGCTACAGTGTGCCCCATGGCCAGGACCCCAGGCCCTTCTGCTGCCTTGTACTCCAGTCTTCTGTTGCTTCCAGAATCACCATTCTGAATCACATCCTGTCTTCCGAGTGCTTATAAACCTTCCTTCCACGGCTCACCCTCATCCTGAAGGATGCTCAGACCTCTTTGATCAGCCTCCACCTCCCTCTGCAAACTCCCTCTCACTTTCGCTGCCTTCCACGCTCACTCTGCCCCAGCCCTGGCAGACTCTCCAAGCCTTCTCCCACCTCTGCACCTTTGCCTGACATACACCTGTCTCTGTCAACACTGGTGTTTCTGTTCAGGACTCAGCTCAGGCATAGCTTCCTCCAGGAAGTGCTCTCTGAAGTCCCTGCTCCTGTGATGGAAAAAGCCCTCCTTTGAGCCCCCCAACACCTGTGATTGGCCTCCTTCCAAAGCTTCTGATTCTGAATCACATTACAGAACTCACCACTGGCCCCTCTCCTCTCAGCCTCTGGCTCCTCTCTGCCCTGAAGAGGAGAATGTGCATGCAGATATGCTCAGAGGCCAGTCCTCTTGACTGCTAGCTCTACTTGTTTGTCTTCCATAGCCTTCTACTTGTGAACCTGTTTTCAATCAACACCAGATCAAGCCTAGGCTGTGTGTTTGCACTGAGCAATAGCACCTCACTATTGAGGGCATTGTTTTGTTTCCATTATTCATGAAATTCCATTTGTGGAGAACAATACAAGTTTTCTGTCATATATGGAAGAGTCATCCTTTATAAAATGAATTTGTAGGAGTAAAAAAGGAAATCCCTTTTTTTTAATTTTTGGCAAAAGGCCCTTTGAGTAGGGCCATCGGGACAGATGCATGCACACACATGTTTGCACACAGGCACACGCATGCTTCACATGGACAACTGGAGCCAGCCCTGAATGACAGAATGAAGTCATGAGGCTTGCAGCGCTATGTGCCTGCCACTAACTGTCTATGCAGCTGGGGTGGGGGTGACTTCCTTGTTTGTTCTCAGCTTACTCACCTGTAAACAGACAAGAATAAAATTGGGAAACAAAAAACTACAATTTCATCTCCCAGAGGCCATCTCTTATCCTAGTCATACAATGCAAAAATAGTACTGCAGTAGAGGACTCTAACAGTGAGCCTATCTTAGAGATTGGAGATCTAGGTCAAACGAGATGCCCAAAGTCGCCTGCGATTTGACATCAAAATTCAGGCTTTCCACCCCCTGGCAACAAAATCCTCAGCCCGTTCTGATACTTCTCCTGCATCTTCCTTTCCCAAATAAACTTCTGTCATATGAGTTACATGAACAAACCCATACAAGATAAAAGATACCCCTAACTAATGTGAAAGCAAATAAGTAAAGGACAAAAGCAATATCAAAAAGGAAAGAAACCCTTCAAAGGGAAGGAACAACTGGGATGAGGGAAAGAAGGAGGGGAAAACTTATTCATATACACAGGATGACTTGGATAACTGCACTACTGATTTCCACTGGGCTATTGAAAGCAACAGCTAATGCTTATTTTTCTTCTTTTTTAACTTTTCTTTTTTTAACTAACTTTGCATGCTTATATCTGGAATCTGGACAACTAATTTGAAGAAAATATGCAATTTACCAACCAATATTGAATTCCTATCATCTTGTTGAGTGAAATTGTGTATTGTTTTTAATGTTGATGTTTGTTTGTTTGTTTGTTTGTTTGTTTTAACTGTTTTTTATTCTTTTAAAAAAAATTTGGCTGGAGAGATAGCTTGGTGGTTTAAGTGCCTCCCTGGCAAGCACAAGGACCCAGGTTCAAACCCTGGACTGCATGAGATGCTGGCCACTGAAACTGGGCATGATGGTGCACGCTGGTAATCCCAGTGCTAGAAAGGCTGAGACAAGAGGATCACTAGGAGTCTGAGCTGCATAGTGAGACCCTCTACCAAATGAATAAATAAATAAATTTTTAATTTTTAAAAAAGATTTCAGGATATAACACCACTAGTCAGGGAAATCACGCACCCCGAAGCTGAAAACACATTTCAGGCTTTTCCACACTTGCAGTTCTGCTCTTGGGCTTTTGTTTCGCTCATTTGTTTGTTTTGGTTTTTCATGGTACTGGGGCACTAGCTACATTCCCAGGCCCAATTTTAAAACAGCTGCCAGGCTGGGCTCCAACTTGCAACCTTCCAGCCTCAGCTTCCCAAAGTGCTGGGTTTACAGGTGCGCCGCACTCAGTGGCCCTCATTCTCCCTTTGTTAGACACAAGTAACCACAAAGCCCGTGGAAGTGTTGGGAGGAAGATTACAGTCGGTAGGACAACTGATTCAGCGTGGCTATGACATACAGATAACAAAAGCTGCTTAAATGGAGAATGAGGCCAGTCAACACTTCACTCTGCGTGGATTAGGAGAAAAAAAGAACAGCAAAACACGAGTGCACGTAGGACAGCCAGCCGACATTTTTTAATGAGATTTACCAATATTTTCTAAAAAATTTATTTATTTACTTGGTACAGGGTCTCACTACACAGCTCAGACTTATAGTGATCCTCCTGTCTCAGCCTCCACAGCACTGGGATTACAGGCATGCACCATTACGCCCTATTTCAGTGGCCACCACAGCAAACCCATGTTCCAGGGCCAGCAATCTATAACTCAAGTCAGATGAGGCATGGCTTGTGGCTTGGGTTCCAGGGCCAAACCCATGGATCAAACCCCGGTCCTTGCACTTGCCAGGCAGGTGCTTAAGCTGCTGAGCTATCTCCCTAACTCCTCAAATACTTTTAAAGACTATTAGAACAAGTAATTTACATATAGGGTGCAGCAAATGCAATTACATAATATAATACTTTGCTCATCTAAAATAGTCTTACCCTTGTATGGGGAACCATCTTGAACATTTATACCTGACCTAGTTAGAAACAAATTTACCATGTTCACAGGTATATCAAAATGTACAGAGTTATAAAATTATAACCAAAACTTGCAATAAAATGTACAATAGACAGATGGATTGTCCTTCAGGTGCCTGTGTGTGTACCTATGAGTGCGCATGCATGTATGTGGATATGTAGACTTGAAGCAGCTAAATATCTGAGCAAACAGGAAGTTCATGTGAGCAGGCATAGAGTTTTCAAGTTATTGCAAAGCTCAATGTGAGTCCAGGTTAAGATGTGGATGATGAAGAGAAGCAAAACTCTTACAAAAAGTAAAGATGCACCACAAATTCCATTCATCATAGTGACAGTCCTCTGTGCTCTTCACCTGCCAGCCAATACCCACAGCTTGGAGCAGTCCTGGGAATCACACTTTCAGGGGAACAGCAAACATCAAATCTGCCAGAGGACAATGATCAGTTACTGGGAAGAAGGAGATAATCTGTAACTCGAGTCAGATGAGGCAGGGCTTGTGGCTTGGGTTCCAGGGCCAAACAAGACTTCTTCAAATATAAGATGTGTAACTGTTCAGGAATGCATGTGCCCCTGACCATCTGCAAGGAATGTTGTTGAAAGGGGCTCTATATGGTAGATTAGACTGGTGAGCATCTGCCAAACATTCCTCCCAGCGTGGGGATTTTGTAGCCTGTGGTGAGAATAAAACTGCATCTATCTTACATAGCAGTGGGTTAAACCATTTCATTTCTTTCCTGGGAAAGACTAGTTTCTCAAGTGAAGAGCACTTGCCAACCAAGACAGGAGATAAGCTGATGCATAGCTAATCCTAGTGATGAGAAGATGCCCATGACTTGGTGTACCCCTCCATCTAACCCCACACACAAACAACATCTGGTGGGCTCAAAATGCTAGAGATGAAGGACAGACGATCTGACAGTCAAGTCCAAGATGGCGGACATCAGGTGGAGGACAACCTGTTTCATACATGTGCACACTATTCAGAGCAAAAGTGAGCACTTTCATGAAACATGTGTGCTCCTGGGATGTACCCTTGATCTACTGAACCAGAATTATTAGCAATAAGAACCAGAACATTAATGCTCAGCATGTTTTCCCAGGTAATTCTTGGGCAGAGATCTTAGGTGGAGAATTTGCATTTCAAACTATCTCACAGGTAAGTTGTTGTTCCTGAGAAATCCTCCATTCCCGAAAGACTCAAACAACAGTAGATACCTCCAAGAATGATCCCAACCTCCTCAGAAACCCCAGTCCTCATTTGTGCAGGCGGGCCCTGGTGACACACTTATAATGACTGGAATAGGTAAAGCTAAGCAGGTGTCACTTCCAGCATAAGATTATAAAAAGACAGTGACTGTTCCCTCTCTCCCTCTTGCTTTGCTCACTTGCTCAAGCTAGTGAAGTGAGTGGCCACACTATGAACTGTCCACTGGAGAAGCCTGCATGGCGGCCAGCAACCTGCAAGGAACTCACTCCTGCCAACAGGCAGTGAGCTGCTGGCTGCAGATCCTCCTCTAGCTGAACTTGCTGCCACCTCAAGTGCAGCCAGGCGACCCAGTTAAGTCAGCTTGGATTCCTGTCCCAAAGAAACTGTGAGATGACAACTGTTGTTCAGGCCATCCTTTGTGTCAGGCAGTGATAGATTACTAACAGAGGTGCTTTGTAGAGAAGTCATCCTGAAACCAGTAAGACTCCTTGGCATGTAACCCATCCTTCAAGTCCCTCATCTCATTTGTCCCCAACATAAAGGAGATAGAATTTGTTCATGGACATCATTGGTCAATATTTAATGAGGTACACTATTTACATGTAATTTATGTCATAATGTGCTTAACACTGCATTTCAAGCTTTGGTCCTTGACAAGGCTTGGACTCCTTCACTGGAGTTAAGGGGAGGTCATGTGGGAACACAGCTGGGTTCAGGGTGGAGATGTGAATCCCAGTCAGCACCAGCCTCGTGCCCTATTACTGCCCCTGGCAGCCCAGAGACTGTCTTTTAGCTAAGAGTAGGGTGAATGCTCCTGACAACCCCCATGAGCATGAGGAGTGGCACCTTCTTTGGTTTTGCAAAACAAAACCATGGCTCTTCCCTTAGCAAGTGGTAGGATCTTTCCCTGAGAAAATGGTGAAGGGCACAAACTTTATCTGCCTGCCTTTCATAGCATAGTGCCCGATGTCCTCACTAGGGGAAGAAAGAAAGAAAGCCTCTGGGGGAGGCAGCCAGGCCTCTCATTTTCTCCAGAACTACATGTTGAGAAAGTGCATTTCTCAGGCTGCTTGTGTGGAAAGGCCACAGGCACCTGGAGATGAGGCCCCAAGTCAGGACATCCAGCTGTGGTCCCACCATCAGCTCCTTGTATAGCCCAGGATGAGGCCTTATCCCTCTGGACTTCGCACTTCTCCTGACAAGATGAGCAGGCTGGGCCAGGAGAGGACTCAGAGCCTCCTACTCAGGATCTGAGGTCCAAGGCAAGGAGGCAGCTTCCAGGCACAATGCACAGTCAAAGGTGGTTGGCTCCACTCAGAGGGCCAGGCCCCCGCGGCTCAGCCACCGTGCCCGCTCTGAGGAGCCTCCTGGGGCACTGCTGTGCCACAGAGGGCTCTGGCAGACATTGTCCAGCCTGCTCCTAATGGTGTCCTGCAGCTCCTCGTCATCCAGCAGGACCGCTGCCGCCAAGGCCAGCAAGAAGTACTCAGTGGCATCATGAGCATCCTAACCCCACGCAGGAGGCAGAGAAAGACAGTGTTAGCAAACACCTGCAGGAGAGGCTGGGAGGCAGAGCTGGGAAGCCCAGCTCCTATCTGCCTCACACTCCGCACCACGTCCTGGTTCCTCAGGGGAGTTCCTGCCCACCCCACCACACAGCATCACTCGGAGGCAGCAGCTTACCCAGGCTTGGGCAATCATGACACAGCACTGCCCTAGACACAGTGCTTCCAGGATGTGTGTGACCCAAACCTGACCTGTCCATCATGTGCCAGGACTCTTCAGTGTAACCCAGCAGGGAAAATGGTCCCTCATCCTTTTGGATATGACTTAAGCCTCCTAGTGGCTAGAGGGGAGGAAGCCAAGGAACACAGACAAGTATAAATATACAGGGTCAAAAGATCCAGAACCAGGTGGGCAGTACATAATGATGTACGAGCACCATGACCCAGAACTACCTGGCACAAAATCTATCCCTCAGCTTCCCAGGTGTTGGAGCCAATACACTGCCTACTCTGCTTAAGGTTGTTTGAGTTGGTTTTGCTTTGCAGCCACTACAATCCCTGGCTGATACAGTCAGACCACATACACTGCATCCATGAACCCCCTTCCTGCAATCTGTGGGGCTGCAGCAAGATGGCCCAGGAATGCCACACCTCCCCCAGCCCTCTCTACATGGCAGGGAATGGAAACAGATGCTCTTTTGGGTGAGACTCAAAAGAGATGTCTGGTTCTCATTAACCCTCCTAAGCCAATAATTAATTCAGGCCAGAGACAAAGTCTAGCCAG